CAGCAGACAGTACAGTTCCTGCAGGAAGCAGGTTCCCCAGCAGATGGTACAGTTCCTGCAGTAAGCATGTTCCTCAGCAGATAGTACAGTTCCTGCAGGAAGCAGGTTTCCTAGCAGACAGTACAGTTCCTGCAGGAAGCAGGTTCCCCAGCAGATGGTACAGTTCCTACAGGAGGCAGGTTCCCCAGCAGACAGTACAGTTCCTGCAGGAAGCAGGTTCCCCAGCAGATAGTACAGTTCCTGCAGGAAGCAGGTTCCCCAGCAGACAGTACAGTTCCTGCAGGAAGCAGGTTCCCTAGCAGATAGTACAGTTCCTGCAGGAAGCAGGTTACCTAGCAGACAGTACAGTTTCTGCAGGAAGCAGGTTCCCCAGCAGATGGTACAGTTCCTACAGGAAGCAGGTTCCCCAGCAGACAGTACAGTTCCTGCAGGAAGCAGGTTCCTCAGCAGATAGTACAGTTACTGCAGTAAGCAGGTTCCCCAGCAGATAGTACAGTTCCTGCAGGAAGCAGGTTCCCCAGCAGACAGTACAGTTCCTGCAGAAAGCAGGTTCCCTAGCAGACAGTACAGTTCCTGCAGGAAGCAGGTTCCCCAGCAGATGGTACAGTTCCTACAGGAAGCAGGTTCCCCAGCAGATAGTACAGTTCCTGCAGGAAGCAGGTTCCCCAGCAGACAGTACAGTTCCTGTAGGAAGCAAACTGGCAGAGAATATACAGGCCTCTTCGGTTGATTAAAAATGTACATTGAGATCCTCAATGGTGCTACAGAGTTAGTACCCTGAGTGAGATTTGTCATATATGGCCATTGGGAGGAGATACTTATGGAGATATCATTGTGGTATCAGTGGCAGGAAGTGATAACTTATGGAGGCATCATTGTGTTGTCTGTAGCAGGAAGTGATAACTTATGGAGGCATCATTGTTTTGTCTGTAGCAGGAAGTGATAACTTATGGAGGCATCATTGTGTTGTCTGTAGCAGGAAGTGATAACTTATGGAGGCATCATTGTGTTGTCTGTAGCAGGAAGTGATAACTTATGGAGGTATCATTGTGTTGTCTGTAGCAGGAAGTGATAACTTATGGAGGCATCATTGTGTTGTCTGTAGCAGGAAGTGAGAACTTATGGAGGCATCATTGTGTTGTCTGTAGCAGGAAGTTATAACTTATGGAGGCATCACTGAGTTGTAAATGGCAGGAACTGATAACTTATGGAGATATCACTGAGTGGTCAGTGGCAAGTAGTGATACCTTATGAAGATATCACTGACTTGTCTGTGGCAGGAAGTGATACCTTATGGAGATATCACTGAGTTGTCAGTGGCAGGAAGTGATAACTTATGGAGATATCACTGAGTTGTCAGTGACAGAAAGTGATACCTTATGGAGGTATCATTGAGTTGTCTATAGCAGGAAGTGATACCTTATGGAGGTATCATTGATTTGTCAGTGTTAGGAAGAGATAACTTATGGAGGTATCATTGAGTTGTCTGGGGCAGGAAGTGATACCTTATGGAGGTATCATTGAGTTGTCTCGGGCAGGAAGTGATACCTTATGGAGGTATCATTGAGTTGTCTGGAGCAGGAAGTGATACCTTATGGAGGTATCATTGAGTTGTCTCGGGCAGGAAGTGATACCTTATGGAGGTATCATTGAGTTGTCTATAGCAGGAAGTGATACCTTATGGAGGTATCATGATTTGTCAGTGTTAGGAAGAGATAACTTATGGAGGTATCATTAAGCTGTGTGTAGCAGGAAGTGAAAAGTTATGGAGGTATCATTGAGTTGTCAGTGGAGGTATGATAACTTATAGGCGTATTATTGAGTTGTAAATCTTAGGAATTGATAACTTATGGAGCTATCATTGAGTTGTCAGTGGAGGGATGATAATTCATAGGGGTATCATTGAGTTGTCAGTGTCAGGAAGTGTGCAGTGAAAGTGTGCCTTCACAACCCAGCTGAGCCATGGTCGGCTAGGAAACTTTACAATTTGCATGGGATTTTCTAATGGGCTTAACCTTTCCTGTTGACTCCAGTTTCAGCTAATTATATTTTCCATTTCAGTTGAGTTCCGTTTGATTTTGTTCTCTTGTGTCGGGCAATTTTTCTTCAGTATCAGTTTATGTGCATTAGGCACCGTTTGGTTGATTGAAATATTGGTCATTAAATGTATTGCCAATTAGGAAACGGAAAATAATACACTGATATCATCGATACACTGAAGTCAAGGACCAGTTTTCACTCTGTGTGGTAAATCGCCCATATGGTGTCTGTTCATTATTTGTAAAGACCTGTTGACTTTCTGGGGATGATCTGGTCAGCATCAAGCTGGACGCCTTTACTTCCACAAATATTTCTCCTGTGTAGACTGGGATCTCAGATCCCTTTAGGATTCAAACCCCCAAACCTGGGCTGGCAAGCATGTCGAATTTCTGTCACAGTCACAACTGAGAACAAGACAGTTGAGGCATTCGTCTTGGTGGTTTAGTGGCAGAGTGACTAGTTTGATTTCTTGCCACAACAATGCTCAGAGTTTAAACCCCATCACCAACAGTGGTTCCACCTCATGCAGATCCTGGTTTGACCCACCACCACCAGACAACTTTCATCATTGATTGACAGTGTCCTGATATGAAGAGTTCCAGGAAAGGCAACTGCTCACCCCATCTCAATATATTGATCTAGGAAATGCAAAGAGAAAACACTTGACAGCCTCTGGCAGATTTGTTCATGGACTACCTCTGCCTGATACAGCAATGGCCCATCATCCAGCTTCTACTATAGTACTTCTAAAACTAGCTTTGTTATCTGTCAGTGGCTCCTGTCACGCTCCACTGCTTTGTTATCTGTCAGTGGCTCCTGTCACACTCCATTGCTTGTTATCTGTCAGTGGCTTCTGTCACACTCTGCTGCTTGTTTTTTTGTCAGTACCATTTGTCACACTCTACTGTTTGTTTTTGTCAGTGGCTCCTGTCACACTCCACTGCTTGTTATATCTAGGGTGTCTTTCATGCGTTTTCCAAGCTGCTTCAGTTTTCTTCTCATAGCTTTCTGTTTTTCCTAATATCTTTCTATGTTTTGCTTGCTTGGGGAATCCAGATAAAGAATTTTATAGTTATGCCATCATCGGCTTTCCCCAGTGTTTTGTCTTATCCAACCCCAACATCTTTCCTCACCTCTGCCCATGAATTCCAATATTCACCAAGCCTACTTCTCTGGAAGCCTGAGTTTGATTCCATATGAAGTAAGTTTCTTGAGCTTGCCCTCCTGTCCCTGATATAATTCCCAGAAAATAGTGGAATTATAGAGCACCATATACCCTGTATGCCACTTGGCTTGAGCACAGAATGTATCATGAAAACTAACCAGCCAGATTCTGTACATTTTGCTTCAACAAGTATTTTTTATATTTTTTACGAGTTTTATTTCTTTTCTTTTTTTTTTTAAGTTTCTTTTTTATATTTGTAGGGTTTTATTTTAAAATGTTTCTTTTGTAGACATCACTGAAGCTTATGTTTTTAATAATTCATTGGAAACATTTTGCAGATTTCAGAGGAAAGTCAGAAAGAGAAAATGAATAGAATTGTCTTTCTTCTTCTACATCCTTCCAATCCACAGCAAGCCATTCTGTCTTTGACCATCTCCTGAATTCACTTGTATGCCCCCCCCCCCCCCCCCCATCTGATATATGCCTCTCTAATTCTTTTTTCTATCTGTTTTAGGTTTGCCTCTCTGTTTTTGTCTGTTAGGTTCCAGTAAAAGGATGTTCTAGTTATACTTTGTTATGGTTTTCTTATTGTGTGTCTTTTCCAGAGCCAGTGGTTTTTTTTTCTTACCTCTTGATTCACTGGAGTTTTTGTTTAGTTCTCTCCCAGAGATCCCAGTTACTGATTATGTCATACTGTTCATTCCATCATTTCTGTATAGGCACCATGTCAGCAACTTTATTCCCTGCCGTGAAGGCATGTGGCTTGTTGGTAGGCTACTGACATACAATCTGTCACTAGGACACACTAAGCCAAACACTTACAGAGCACATGCATCAATCTTTAATGTACAGAACGATAAACAGCAGGTAGTTAACCCCAGAAACAATGGGCCCCCACTATCCTAAACGTGGCAGTGAAAACTTTAAAATCGCCAATCACTCCCCGGCCTTCCCATTCTACAGCTAATACACGGGCCGAAGCCGCCCTTGTTTCTGGTTCAAGCTCTTGCCTCTGCCACTGGACTCCTCACCAGGACTTTGGAGCGTCTGTAAAGTGCGGGCTGATGTGTCAGGACAGATCAAGTGGCCAGTTACTACACTAATCCTTCTAACAGAATAACTCCAATACCTAGCCAGCTACAGACATAAATTACTGCTCAAAATCCTATCTCTGTCGAACACTGTAATTATGCTACCATCCAGCTAAACACATTATTACATGTGTCGCTACCCTCAATTCGACCCGTTGAAGCTCAGTCCAAGAAGCTGGTGGTTTGGTTAGCAGTCAACTTGACCAGTCATGGCTTTCTGCTAGTCTCACAGGTCAAGGTCACTGAGGACAGATATGGACATTCACTATCATCATACTCTGTATCCCATACCTACACTGGACTCTGACTCACCAGTGATTAAATGTTTCTATTTTATTCATAGTTGTTTGAGTCGACATCTATTTTTCAGGTTGATAATGGATAGTTAACATTAAATTGCTCTTTTCGTCTTGTACTTATTCACCTTATCTCTCATTTTCTGTCTTCTTCACTACTTATCTCTCTGTCTCTTTGCCTCAGATTCTCTATTTCTCTGCTACTTCCTGTCCACTTTTAACTTGTTTAATATGATACTATTTTACATTTGCACAGTTTAAAGACTGGCCTCAAGTTTGTTCAGCATGTCACTGCGTGGTTAGTCTCACTTGCTGACTGCTGGTGAACTTTGAAATTCAAAGATTATATTGTGGTTTTCCCTGGACTTCCGCCTTCTTTAACACTACACAACATTTGATCTTCCCCAGAGTCCCATGATGTTCTCCAAGTCGCAGGACGACGTGTGTATGATCATGAAGTTCCTCTCCAACTCTCCAGTGACCCACGTGGCTGCCAACACTCACCCAGCGGTGCCGGTGCCAGCGGTGACCTCTATCTCCTGCAATCACAACTATGCCATCAATAAGTGGAACAACAATTACATCCGTAAGTGCCAGCTGGCATGTCACACTGTCACCAGGGTTTACTGTGAAGAGGCAGGCACACGTCTGCCAAGGTGGGATTTGAACCTAAAGCTGCCAGCAGGTTATGTTTAGCCATGCCTCTTATGGGTTAATGCCATTCTCTGACATAAGAGTTTGTCAGGTTCCAGCTCCCAGTGGGGACCAGGACTTTTACCAACTCGTACCGTGATATTTATATCCTGGTTCATGATTGGTTGGATTTCTATTTTATTTTGGAGCAGATGTTTGTTTTTTTTTTGGGGGGGGGGGGGGGGGGGGGGGAGATGAGGTAACCATTCCACACTAGCCCTTCTTTGTTACCTATTTTTCTTGTTCTAGAATTTGAGTTTTTTTGTGCACATTTGTTTTACGGATCTGGCTTATTTGTATGCAGACTGTTGGTTCCTTGCATCTCAGGCAAGGAAAGGGGGCAGTGGGTTTATTCTTTTTCCCTGCACATTGAGGCCCCAGAATCCACATAGGGAAGTTACCTCTAAGGAAGCAAAGATAGAGCACTGTAACCTACCATCTCTTCATTTCCTTAGTGAGGCCAGATTGACAGAAGACAGCAGCAGAAATGTACCTTCTCCTCCTGTTAGTGCCAGATTTTCTCTTTGTTTGTTTGACTTTTTGTGGGTGAATGTTACGGTATGTGTTTGGGCTGTAGCCACTAGACATAGAAAACAGCTCTGGTACTGCTTCGTTTGTAGACGTGCCGGGTATAAATATATTTAGATGTCACACACTGTGTTTTTTTTTTTTTTAGGTCTTTGTGACATCATGACGACATCACTTTGCTCCAGTTAGTGTTCACAAAAACATTTTATTCATGGTCTAAAGGAGAGAAATTCATTAATTTTTTTTTTCTTTTGTATTTATAATTACATCCCTTAATATAAAGCTGAATTGTTGGATGGGAAGAATACTTTATATTTAAAAAAATTGTGGGGAGGGGGGATTTGAGACTACTTAATATTCCCAGGCAGTGCATGGAATGAAGGTGGTAAATTCTCCTCTAGGGGGCACGCAAGGTATCTCTCCCTATCTATCCTGTTTAGTGTGCTCAGCATGTTTTCATCGCTGTAGTCTGTTATCAATTTGCTTTTTTCCTACAGAAGAATGAACCTCTGACTTGGTTGTATTCTTGTCCCCAGCTCAAGCCAACTCTGCCAGCTTTTCGTCTGAGAAAGCCGATCCCACAGCTCAACCAAACCTGCCGCTGGCCATGGATCAGTTGCTAGGTAAATGTTCTGACAAGTTATGCTGTCAGTTTTTGGATATGTTACAGATAATGATGAAATCGAAGATGGATGTCTGAATGACTTTGGTTTATTCAGAAAATGTGTGAACTGATCAGTGAAAGTGTGTTTTGATACCCAAACATAATCTTTCTGTTTCCATCTCTTTTTTCCCAGAGCAGCATAAGCCATAAGAAGAACCAGCTTACCCCAGGTTCTTTGTTTGATTAGTTCCTGACTGGTTAGATTTTGTAGCTACAGATTTGATTGGCTGTGGTATTCAGTCCCATGCAAACTCTTTTTAGTCACCCGTTAGGACATGCATGAAATGTGACAGTGTTATTCTTGACTTTCCTAGTGGGTTCTGGAAACACTTGAGTTGTATTTCAGAATCTGTCTTATATTGTCAGTGATACTTTTCCTTGGAGAATCTGTTTGTCTTATAATGTCAGTGATATCTTTCTTTAGAGAATCTGTTGGTCTTATATTGTCAGTGATATCTTTCTTTAGAGAATATGTTGGTCTTGTATTGTCAGTGATATCTTTCTTTAGAGAATCTGTTTGTATTATATTGTTAGTGATATCTTTCTTTAGAGAATCTGTTTGTCCTAGATTGTCAGTGATATCTTTATTTAGAGAATCTGTTTCTGTTATTTTGTTAGTGTACTAGGTGGGAGAAAGCCCATAGTACTAAGAATTAAAATAAAGGAATATAGAATAGATAGTTCGTTTAGGTGGGGGCTAGAAACAAATATTCTAGTCCAAGCAAGAGATCTTCTGGGTAAAGTCTAATATAGTCCAGGTAACGAATAAAATAAACTAAAAACATATGAAACAAACTAGGAAACTAACTAGGCACACTAACTACTAGTCGTAAGCTGAAGGAAACAACTGTAACTATGAATACAACGTTGAACATAATTTTTATTGAACTTCACATCAGCATGGCCAAAAGTAACGACATAAACGACCACGTGCTGGAACAAAACCTCAAATATACAGCCATCTAACTATTTCTTGTCTAGAATACAGATGCAAATCTATCTTAACCAACTAACCACTGAACGTACCCTCGACTGCCATCAGTCCGACCACGAACGTTACCTGTGGTCGCCATACCTATAGACCAGCCCATTGTGCAAAGCATCAGTCTTCTTGGGTTAGGCTTCCACAGGTTGGTCCGGAAGTCGAATAGATCGCTGCGAGACTAGACAAAATCTTTTATACCCAGAGAGCCAGATTTTTCCCCATCTTTCGTATACTTTATTAAAAGCCAATGTTTCTCAAAAGGCCGGTTAGCATTTTCAAACCAGGATAAACCTTCAAAGACCTTTAAGTCGCTTCCACCCTACTACACGTCGGATTATTATTTTTGTTGACGTCCCGGCAACTACACAATATGTAACGTAAATTGTCTAAAAATCATCCCCTGACATTACGTAATCACTAGTCACTTGCAGTACCACTAATAACATTCTCCCAAAAATAGCTGACATTGATATATGATCAAAGCATGACTCGTCCCAAGGAAACTGGATAAGGAACGTATAAGTCCCAAATAAGAAATTACCAAGATGGCAGTAGTCATGAAACATCCAGTGAACATTTGCGTTCGAGTTTCAGCTACCATCTGTAAAATCACAACAAATCCCCCACCTACATCAATAATGGCGATATCATCGGAACACGTTAGCATGTGCGCTGGTGTCCGAGACACCATCAGAGTAGAACAAACCCCCATCTAATCCGCTCCTTGATAGAAAAATGCATTAAACACATACCAGATCACTACTAACACACAACAATCAAAACCTAAAAGAAAAAAACATGTTACTGCAATAAAAACATAGTAATCAGTAAACATCCGGATTCTTGATCAGTTGGATTTCCTCTCCGACGTCCAGTAATTCTTCGTAGACAAGTTGTCATAATATTTGATACCTCAGCCGCGGGGCTTACAATGGACATTTTCGTTTACTACCTCGGCCAAAGGCCTACAATGGACATTTTCGTTTACTTCCTCGGCCAAAGGCCTACAATGGACATTGTCTCGGCCGCGTGGCCTTGGAGAGACGTGTCTCGGCCGCGTGGCCCTCGAGAGACATATCGGACATTACCTCGGCTTTGGCATAGCCTACAATTACCTCGGCTTTGGCATAGCCTACAAATTGACATTTTCGTTCACTACCTCGGCCAAAGGCCTACAATGGACATTGTCTCGGCCGCGTGGCCTTGGAGAGACGTGTCTCGGCCGCGTGGCCCTCGAGAGACATATCGGACATTACCTCGGCTTTGGCATAGCCTACAATTACCTCGGCTTTGGCATAGCCTACAAATTGACATTTTCGTTCACTACCTCGGCCGAAGCCTACAATGTTTTAACTGGTACCAGCAATGTTAAAAACGTCATTGCTTAAGTGGCTCGGTCGGTGTACTTTAAACAAGGCTCCCTACTATACAAACAGACCTACGGTTAAACCTTGATGTAGAGATATAAATCAAGATAAATTGACCCCAAGTTCAGGTCGAGACGTAAACAAGTCACTCCGTGGACAATAGACAAAACCACTCCTAGTCGACGATAGACACTGACCACTCCTAGTTAACTTAACAATAGACGCAGACTACAGCTAGTGAAGACAAAACTAACATCTGATCACACAACAAAACTACACAGGCCGCACCTACACAAGTCCTAAACCAAATTAAAATCAAGACGCGATAATCTGAGCCGACTAGACCTGGCAAATTAAACTACTCCATAACGCTATTCAAGATGATATAAAACTTAACTATGAACAACCCAAGTCTTCGATAACGAAACCACACACGTGGGCGAACATATCTAAAGTATGAAATAAAAGAGCACGTGGGCGCCATAAAAACCGAATTTAAAAATCACTACTATTACCTGCACAATCTAGAACTCCTTTGTGAATTAAAACCTGTCACATCTGACTAAACAAAAATCAAAAGACTAATATAGAAGCCCCACAAGTTGGGCGCCATTTAAAAAATCAATCTAAACTCTGAACTACTATTATTACTTGAACTAACTAGGCTAGACACAAATTATCTAATGGCCACCAAAATCCTTGCCAGACGACGCCATTTGTACTAGGGGGGAGAAGCCCTAAGTACCAAGATAAAAAAAAAAGGAAAATAGATAGTTAGGTGGGGGCTAGAAATAATAATATTCTAGTCCAGGCAAGAGATCTTCTGTGTAAAGTCTAATATAGTCCAGGTAACGAATAAAATAAACTAAAAACATATGAAACAAACTAGGAAACTAACTAGGCACACTAACTACTAGTCGTAAGCTGAAGGAAACAACTGTAACTATGAATACAACGTTGAACATAATTTTTATTGAACTTCACATCAGCATGGCCAAAAGTAACGACATAAACGACCACGTGCTGGAACAAAACCTCAAATATACAGCCATCTAACTATTTCTTGTCTAGAATACAGATGCAAATCTATCTTAACCAACTAACCACTGAACGTACCCTCGACTGCCATCAGTCCGGCCACGAACGTTACCTGTGGTCGCCATACCTATAGACCAGCCCATTGTGCAAAGCATCAGTCTTCTTGGGTTAGGCTTCCACAGGTTGGTCCGGAAGTCGAATAGATCGCTGCGAGACTAGACAAAATCTTTTATACCCAGCGAGCCAGATTTTTCCCCATCTTTCGAATACTTTATTAAAAGCCAATGTTTCTCAAAAGGCCGGTTAGCATTTTCAAACCAGGATAAACCTTCAAAGACCTTTAAGTCGCTTCCACCCTACTACATTAGTGATACCTTTCTTTGGAGAATCTGTTTGTCTTTTATTGTCAGTGATACCTTTCTTTAGAGAATCTGTTTGTCTTTTATTGTCAGTGATACCATTCTTAAGAGAATATGTTTGTCTTTTATTGTCAGTGATACTTTTCATTAGAGAATCTGTTTCTGTTATATTGTTAGTGATACCTTTTATTTATCAGTTTATTTTGCCATCCATCTTGCAGTGTTGAACACTGGCTTACAGCGACGTACATTGGGAGATAACTTTGATCAGCGATTGCCTGTCAACCACCACAGCTTTGCAACAACTGCAGACAACCGCTTCCTGTTTGCTTGCGGCTTTTGGGACAAGAGCTTTAGAGTGTATTACCTGGATACAGGTAAGGGAGTCCTGTGGGGGTTGTGGGAAAAGAGCTTTAAAGTGTATTACCTGGATACAGGTAAGGGAGTCCTGTGTGAGTTGTGGGAAAAGAGCTTTAGAGTGTATTACCTGGATATATTGGTAAAGATATTGATTCACAGATAGGCTCAAAGCTCTGCAGACAGAGTCATATCTCAGAGAAGCTACAGACAAGAAGCACCTCCTGCATGAAGCCCTGGGTAGAGCTAAGAGTCACAGACTGAAAGGAGGAAGGTCTTGGAAGGCGCATGCTGAAGACACAATCAGACATTTGTGCAGGCTTGATAATTTTGAGCAAGGAGAGGAGTGGATCAAAGTGTTCGAGCAAGTATCAGACTTGTGTAGGGCTCTGATCACTTTAGGCCGTGAGTGCAGGGCCTAGCCTGCTGGAATTGTAGAATCAGAGGTTCAACAAATGATTCATGTCAATTTCTACCTAAGTGATGTGATTATCTATACAGATGGCTCTGTGTTGAGGGGCAGTCGAAGTGCATGGGGGTTCATAGCGAAGGTGAATGGATGTCGCCTTGTGCAGCAAAGTTTGCATCTGATATCACACCGTCTAGTTTGAGAATGGAGGTGGAGGCAGTCAGTGCTGCCTTCCGCTGGCTTGAAAATCAGTTGTAATGGCATGCCATGATTGTAACTGACTCACAGAGCATGTTGAGAAAGGTGGAGACAGGCATGCTTCGTGCAGAGTGGCAAGCATCACTTCAGAGGTCCTGGGTAAGCACCCTTTGGATATTTTCTCCAGGTCATGCCAGTATGTTAGAAAATTAGCAGGCGGATAGACTGGATGGCTCTGCCCCACTTGGTGGTGAATTGATGTATGCCAAGCTAGATGATGTGAGGGCCTTTTGGGAACGGGTGAACTGTGCGGAGATGCAGATAGATCATTACAGTCTGAGGAAAATGGCGCTGCGAGGAGTTACCAGGGGATCCAGCCGACGCTCAACACTCGGGGGATGGATGAGACGGATATACAAACAGACGGTGGTTACTGGTGCAATTGGAATTGGAACTCTTTGCTTGCTACTGATGATGGGAACTGAGCACTTATGGGAGTGTCCCAAGTGCTGTGATGTCAATTCTTAATTCAACATTCAACATTCTACCTAGATACAGGTAACAGGGTCCTTATGTGGGTTTTGAGTCCCTGTTTCGGGTGAAAGGAGTTAGATCCGCTGCCCCTTAACAAGCATGTCATAAAAAGCAACTAATTAAAGGTTTCCTGCAGTCAGGAGTGTCCAACCAACCGGCATAGATATCACAGCCTAGCTTTAAACCACTGCACAGTGGCAGCTGCCCTTTTAAAAGGAAGCGAAGAAGCTCACGAGCCACAATAATACAGTGGCTAGATGCCAGCCCAGAGGTCTAGGTCACAGGCATTTTTTTTTTCTTGCTTAACCCTAGGTCAAAGCGGTTTAAAATGGATAGCAGGTAATGTACATGGAAGTAAAGGCACGGTACTGACACCCTCACTAATCGGCAGGGCTATACAGTATAAGTCTGGAATGCTGTGCCTGATGCGCCATTGGCTTGAGCAGAGTCCTTGTTTTGGCTGACTAAGGACAGTTGAGAGAGGAGTTGTTTCTGCAGACTGTGCTAGTTCATCAACGTCGAGGTCACAGGGAAGGCACACAGACAACACCTCATGAGTTTTAATAGGCTGGGACAACGGACATATAAGGTGGTCTCCTGTGTTAGGTAGTAGCTACTTCAGCTCAAACATGTTTAAGTGTCGGAGCAGAGAGCCGGCCCATATCTACACTATAGCAGAGTCAGGTAGTAGCTACTTTAGCTCAAACATGTTTGAGTGTCCGAGCAAAGAGCCGGCCCAAATCTACACTATAGGAGAGTCAGGTAGTAGCTACTTTAGCTCAAACATGTTTGAGTGTCGGAGCAGAGAGCCGACCCATATCAAAACTATAGAAGAGTCAGGTAGAAGCTACTTCAGTTCAAACATGTTTGTCAGAGTAGAGAGCCGACCCATATCTACACTATTGGAGAGTCAGGTAGAAGCTACTTCAGTTCAAACATGTTTGTCAGAGTAGAGAGCCGACCCATATCTACACTATTGGAGAGTCAGGTAGAAGCTACTTCAGTTCAAACATGTTTGTCAGAGTAGAGAGCCGGCCCATATCTACACTATTGGAGAGTCAGGTAGAAGCTACTTCAGTTCAAACATGTTTGTCAGAGTAGAGAGCCGGCCCATATCTACACTATTGGAGAGTCAGGTAGAAGCTACTTCAGTTCAAACATGTTTGTCAGAGTAGAGAGCCGGCCCATATCTACACTATTGGAGAGTCAGGTAGAAGCTACTTCAGTTCAAACATGTTTGTCAGAGTAGAGAGCCGGCCCATATCTACACTATTGGAGAGTCAGGTAGAAGCTACTTCAGTTCAAACATGTTTGTCAGAGTAGAGAGCCGGCCCATATCTACACTATTGGAGAGTCAGGTAGAAGCTACTTCAGTTCAAACATGTTTGTCAGAGTAGAGAGCCGGCCCATATCTACACTATTGGAGAGTCAGGTAGAAGCTACTTCAGTTCAAACATGTTTGTCAGAGTAGAGAGCCGGCCCATATCTACACTATTGGAGAGTCAGGTAGAAGCTACTTCAGTTCAAACATGTTTGTCAGAGTAGAGAGCCGGCCCATATCTACACTATTGGAGAGTCAGGTAGAAGCTACTTCAGTTCAAACATGTTTGTCAGAGTAGAGAGCCGGCCCATATCTACACTATTGGAGAGTCAGGTAGAAGCTACTTCAGTTCAAACATGTTTGTCAGAGTAGAGAGCCGACCCATATCTACACTATTGGAGAGTCAGGTAGAAGCTACTTCAGTTCAAACATGTTTGTCAGAGTAGAGAGCCGGCATATCTACACTATTGGAGAGTCAGGTAGAAGCTACTTCAGTTCAAACATGTTTGTCAGAGTAGAGAGCCGGCCCATATCTACACTATTGGAGAGTCAGGTAGAAGCTACTTCAGTTCAAACATGTTTGTCAGAGTAGAGAGCCGACCCATATCTACACTATTGGAGAGTCAGGTAGAAGCTACTTCAGTTCAAACATGTTTGTCAGAGTAGAGAGCCGAGCCCCATATCTACACTATTGGAGAGTCAGGTAGAAGCTACTTCAGTTCAAACATGTTTGTCAGAGTAGAGAGCCGACCCATATCTACACTATTGGAGAGTCAGGTAGAAGCTACTTCAGTTCAAACATGTTTTGTCAGAGTAGAGAGCCGGCCCATATCTACACTATTGGAGAGTCAGGTAGAAGCTACTTCAGTTCAAACATGTTTGTCAGAGTAGAGAGCCGGCCCATATCTACACTATTGGAGAGTCAGGTAGAAGCTACTTCAGTTCAAACATGTTTGTCAGAGTAGAGAGCCGGCCCATATCTACACTATTGGAGAGTCAGGTAGAAGCTACTTCAGTTCAAACATGTTTGTCAGAGTAGAGAGCCGGCCCATATCTACACTATTGGAGAGTCAGGTAGAAGCTACTTCAGTTCAAACATGTTTGTCAGAGTAGAGAGCCGACCCATATCTACACTATTGGAGAGTCAGGTAGAAGCTACTTCAGTTCAAACATGTTTGTCAGAGTAGAGAGCCGGCCCATATCTACACTATTGGAGAGTCAGTAGAAGCTACTTCAGTTCAAACATGTTTGTCAGAGTAGAGAGCCGGCCCATATCTACACTATTGGAAGAGTCAGGTAGAAGCTACTCAGTTCAAACATGTTTGTCAGAGTAGAGAGCCGGCCCATATCTACACTATTGGAGAGTCAGGTAGAAGCTACTTCAGTTCAAACATGTTTGTCAGAGTAGAGAGCCGGCCCATATCTACACTATTGGAGAGTCAGGTAGAAGCTACTTCAGTTCAAACATGTTTGTCAGAGTAGAGAGCCGGCCCATATCTACACTATTGGAGAGTCAGGTAGAAGCTACTTCAGTTCAAACATGTTTGTCAGAGTAGAGAGCCGGCCCATATCTACACTATTGGAGAGTCAGGTAGAAGCTACTTCAGTTCAAACATGTTTGTCAGAGTAGAGAGCCGGCCCATATCTACACTATTGGAGAGTCAGGTTTGTCAGAGAAGCTACTTCAGTATTGGAGAGTCAGGTAGAAGCTACTTCAGTTCAAACATGTTTGTCAGAGTAGAGAGCCGGCCCATATCTACACTATTGGATCAGTAGAAGCTACTTCAGTTGTTTGTCAGAGAAGACTTCAGTTCAAACATGTTTGTCAGAGTAGAGAGCCCCCATATCTACACTATTGGAGAGTCAGGTAGAAGCTACTTCAGTTCAAACATGTTTGTCAGAGTAGAGAGCCGGCCCATATCTACACTATTGGAGAGTCAGGTAGAAGCTACTTCAGTTCAAACATGTTTGTCAGAGTAGAGAGCCGGCCCATATCTACAAGCTATTGGAGAGTCAGGTAGAAGCTACTTCATTGTTCAAAAGCATGTTTGTTTGTCAGAGTAGAGAGCCGGCCCATATCTACACTATTGGAGAGTCAGGTAGAAGCTACTTCAGTTCAAACATGTTTGAGTGTCGGAGCAGAGAGCCGGCCCATATCTACACTATTGGAGAGTCAGGTAGGCAAAGTAAATAACACTTTACACAATGAAATAAATGAGACTTTTACTGTAAGTTTGCCCGTGTGGATTCCAGGGCCCCATTTAAGAAGGGAGAAGAATGGACCTCATGGAACCCCCCTCCCCCATGGACAAGCATTTGGAAAATTATGGGTTGTTTCCTTCAAAGTCAGAGAGCAACTGCCTGAGAGCTGAGAAACCAACAGTCTGCATATAAATTAGCCAGATCTGTAAAATATGTGCATAAAAAACTTAGGTTCTGGAACAAGACCAGATTCTAAAAGTGAACAAACAACCACAACTTTCAGCCAGAGTTTACTGCTGGTGAACACCACAATGAAGAAGAATAAGTGTTAAGTCAAGGGCACTGTTGCACTCAATCAGTAGCAGATACTTGTACCCACATATCACACAAGGGCACTGTTCCACTCAGTAGCAGATACTTGTACCCACATATTACAATCCAGTGTCCATGTTTGCCGTAGAAAATGTGTTTATCTTTACTTGTATTGTCCAGTACATAAATGTTGTCTATTGTCATTGTCCACAGCTCGCATCATCCAGGTAGTGTTTGGCCACTTCGATGTGGTCACCTGTCTAGCCCGGTCCGAGTGCAATATCAGCCAGGACTGTTACCTGGTCACAGGATCCAAGGATTGCACGGTGATGGTCTGGATGTTCAGTGCCAAGTCTCAGGCCATCCTTGGGGACAACAGCAGTCAGTTCTCTCCTTGTCCGTCACTTATGTCTAGACTTTTTGTTCGTCACTTATGTCTAGACTTTTTGTCCGTCACTTATGTCTAGACTTTTTGTCCGTCACTTATGTCTAGACTTTTTGTTCGTCACTTATGTCTAGACTTTTTGTCCGTCACTTATGTCTAGACTTTTTGTCAGTCACTTATGTCAGGAATTTTTGTCAGTCAGTAATATCAGTCATGTATGTCAGGACTTTGTGTCAGTCAGTAAAAAAGTGTCACAGTTTTCAATAAAACAAAGAAAACCAGTCATCTCAGCTGATCTGATGATGCTGTAAACTGTTGTCCTGACACTGCACACCAGTGGGTAGTCAACCTGTGATGTGGACATTATCACATACAACATATACATCACATACAACATATACATCACATGTACATCACATACAACATATACATCACATACAACATATGCATCATATACCAACATATGCATCACATACAACATATACATCATATACAACATATTCATTAACATGATCATCAGATGCATAAGTCCTAGAGAGACGGGCAATGGGGACAACGAGAGCCAGTGAAGGAACAAAAAAGACATGAGAATATTTCAGTTACATTAAATAAAAATGAATCAATCAGTCCCTCAGTACATCCAGTACTGAATGTCCCTGTCTTGACGGCACACCTGAAAGTTTCTCTTGCTGAATCTCCAGCCCTATGTGCTTTTATAGCCAGTGTTTCTTCAATGTCTTGTATCCACCAGCATGGAGGTCGGCCTCTGCTTGTTTTCCAGAAAGTGCACCCTCCATCACCGTTTTCTCCAGACCAGACATGTCTCAAATACCCCAGCTTATCAGAGAGGATGCTGTTTATGAGCCAGTTCTCCTTGATGTTCACAGCTCCTGCTGGATGTCGACATTTCTCAACTTCTTGGTGCACGGTATTCTACAAATCTTTCAGTTTAAAAGCTCTGATTTTCTTTAAACAGACTGAGAGTCCCACAGACTGATTGAGAGTTCTTGTCTCACAGACTGAGTGAGAGTTCTTGTCTCACAGACTTAGTGAGAGTTCTTGTCTCACATCCATAAGTTGCCACGGGAATGATGCCTGATCTCAGAATCTTTGACTTCCTTGCAGGTGCTATGCCATAGGTTTATCAGGATATTTAGTCTCTGCATTGTTAAAGCTTGTCTGTTTCTGACTTTTCTTGTGCAGTCACCGCTGTTGTTCATTTCTGAGCCTAATTGTTCAAATTCTGTGACATTTTTTTCTCTTTATTGTTGATTTTAATATGTGCTGTATTGATTGTGGACATTATTTTAGTTTTTTCAGATTCAGAAAACCACTGAGCTTTTTGACAGTCACACTGAGCTTTTTCACAGTCACACTGAGCTTTTTCACAGTCACACTGAGCTTTTTCACAGTCACACTGAGCTTTTTCACAGTCAAAATGAATGTTTCTAAGCCTGTACACTGTTGAAAAGAATAACTGTCTCATCTAAATATCTGAGTTCTGCCTGCAAGAGTTTGAGTGGATCGAAGCTCTCACAGGATTCTTCACTAATTGCATTTCTCATAAAATGTTCAGCAGACGTATTTAAACAGGGATAGAGAATGCGGCACTTTCTTCTGTAACCATGGTGATACTGACTTGTTACTTGTTGTCTATATCCACATCCTAGCACATCAGTCCAACCCGATCGTGTTCCACCTCCGATGCTTTCTCATTGTCTCTCTGCCCCTCCTATTCATTGGCTGTAAACTCTGCGGACATTTATGACTGCTCATCATCCACTTCTGGATGCTTTCTCATTGTCTCTATGCCCCTCCTATTCATTGGCTGTAAACTCTGCGGACATTTATGACTGCTCATCATCCACTTCTGGATGCTTTCTCATTGTCTCTCTGCCCCTCCTATTCATTGGCTGTAAACTCTGCGGACATTTATGACTGCTCATCATCCACTTCTGGATGCTTTCTCATTGTCTCTCTGCCCCTCCTATTCATTGGCTGTAAACTCTGCGGACATTTATGACTGCTCATCATCCACTTCTGGATGCTTTCTCATTGTCTCTCTGCCCCTCCTATTCATTGGCTGTAAACTCTGCGGACATTTATGACTGCTCATCCACTTCTGGATGCTTTCTCATTGTCTGTCTGCCCCTCCTATTCATTGGCTGTAAACTCTGCGGACATTTATGACTGCTCATCCACTTCTGGATGCTTTCTCATTGTCTCTCTGCCCCTCCTATTCATTTGCTGTAAACTCTGCGGACATTTATGACTGCTCATCCACTTCTGGATGCTTTCTCATTGTCTCTCTGCCCCTCCTATTCATTGGCTGTAAACTCTGCGGACATTTATGACTGCTCATCCACTTCTGGATGCTTTCTCATTGTCTCTCTGCCCCTCCTATTCATTGGCTGTAAACTCTGCGGACATTTATGACTGCTCATCATCCACTTCTGGATGCTTTCTCATTGTCTCTCTGCCCCTCCTATTCATTGGCTGTAAACTCTGCGGACATTTATGACTGCTCATCATCCACTTCTGGATGCTTTCTCATTGTCTCTCTGCCCCTCCTATTCATTGGCTGTAAACTCTGCGGACATTTATGACTGCTCATCCACTTCTGGACTTTACTCTTGTTCTAGAACCTGAATTCTGTGGAGATATTTATTTGTGTGCAGACTGTTGGTTGCTGACCTCTCAGGCAGATGTACTCCAACTTTGAATAAAACATCCCGCAGTCTGCAAAAATACAGCCAATCATGAGTAAGGTTCAGCTGAAATTAGTTGGTGGCCTATGCTCCACTGGGGGATGAAACAGAAGAATAGGAAGACAGAAATTTGTCCTGCGGTGTGTCTGTTTTTCCTGTATTGATGTAGATGTTTGACATTTGTGTGCAGGTATAGAGATGCCCACGCCTCGGGCAGTGCTGACCGGGCACCAGTCAGAGATCACTTGTGTGGCCACCATCGCCGAGCTGGGACTTGTGGTCAGTGGCTCCAAGGGTCAGTCACAGAATGCTTCAGTGTATTCATCATCATGTGCCTTGATATACTTGCATAGATGTTTGAAAAATCAGTTGATCTATCTATCCTTGCTGCTGTAGATACATTTTTTTTAATGATACTTTTCCTTGCCTCCTTACCACAGTCTCAGGCTTTCTCTCTGCCTATTTTACCAGTCCTAGGCTTTCTCTCTATCTCTTCAACCACAGTCTTAGACTTTCTCTCTGTCTCTTCTACCACAATCTCAGGCTTTCTCTCCGTCTCTTATTCTACAATCTTAGGTTTTCTCTCTATCTCTTCTACCACAGTCTTAGACTTTCTCTCTGTCTCTTCTACCACAATCTCAGGCTTTCTCTCCGTCTCTTATACTACAATCTTTGGCTTTCTCCCTGCCTCTTCTACCACAATCTTAGGCTTTCTCTCTGTCTCTTCTACCACAGTCTTAGGCTTTCTCTCTGTCTCTTCTACCACAAGTTCTTGACAGTCTTGTTGCATGGCAGGAAGGTGTGTTGGCACATGAACTGATACATGCTGCAGGAGATCGCAGATTGTCGAGAGGCATGATCGCCCATGATGATGATGATGACTTATAAAGCTGTCTGCAATGATCCATTCCTATAGCTGTCTGCAATAATCCATTCTTATATCTGTCTATAATGATCCACACTTATATCTGTCTGCAATGATCCACACTTATATCTGTCTGTAATTATCAACTCTTATAGCTGTCTACAGTGATCCACTCTTATAGCTGTCTCCAGTGATCCACACTTTTAGCTGTCTGTAATGATCCACTCTTATAGCTGTCTGTAATGATCCATACTTATAGCTGTCTGTAATGATCCACACTTATAGCTGTCTGTAATGATCCACTCTTATAGCCATCTGCAATGATCCACTCTTATAGCTGTCTATAATCATCCACACTTATAGCTGTCTATAATAATCCACACTTATAGCTGTCTATAATGATCCACTCTTATAGCTGTCTGCAATAATCCATTCTTATATCTGTCTATAATGATCCAAACTTATAGCTGTCTATAATGATCCACACTTATATCTGTCTGCAATGATCCACACTTATATCTGTCTGTAATGATCCACTCTTATAGCTGTCTCCAGTGATCCACTCTTAAAGCTGTCTGTAATGATCCACTCTTATAGCTGTCTATAATAATCCACACTTATAGCTGTCTGTAATGATCCACTCTTATAGCTGTCTGTAATGATCCACACTAATAGCTGTCTATAATGATCCACTCTTATAGCTGTCTGTAATGATCCACTCTTATAGCTGTCTGTAATGATCCACTCTTATAGCTGTCTGTAATGATAAACTCTTATAGCTGTCTGTAATGATCCACTCTTATAGCTGTCTGTAATGATCCACTCTTATAGCTGTCTGTAATGATCCACTCTTATAGCTGTCTGTAATGATCCACTCTTATAGCTGTCTGTAATGATCCACTCTTATAGCTGTCTGTAATGATCCACTCTTATAGCTGTCTGTAATGATCCACACTAATAGCTGTCTATAATGATCCACACTTATAGCTGTCTCTAATGATCCACACTTATAGCTGTCTATAATGATCCACACTTACCTCATCCCATAGAGAACTATAGCTGCAAAATTACCCCAGTCAGCAGCAAGTTTTAAAAAATCTTCTTGTATCCATCAGATGGTCCCTGTTTGGTCCACTCACTGACCGGAGACCTGCTGCACTCACTGGAGCCTCCGTCCACCTGCCAGTCTCCTCGTCTGATTGCAATCTCACGAGAAGCTTTCATCATCCTGGCCTATGAACAGGGCAACATCTGCATGTTCAGCATCAACGGCAAGTTGTTGCACTTCATCAAACACAAGGATACTCTACAGGTGAGACCAGGTCCCACTTTGGCTAGCTTATTGTTTCTCTCCACTCAGACTCAGGTGAGAGAAAATCTGACCTTGGTAAGCTAATCTTGTCCAGGTGAGAGAAAATCTGACCTGGGTAAGCTAGTCATGTCCAGGTGAGAGAAAATCTGACCTGGGTAAGCTAATCATGTCTAGGTGAGAGAAAATCTGACCTGGGTAAGCTATCTTGTCCAGGTGAGAGAAAATCTGGCCTGGGTAAGCTAATCTTGTCCAGATGAGAGAAAATATGATCTGGGTAAGCTAATCTTGTCCAAGTGAGAGCAAATCTGGCCTGGGTAAGCTAGTCTTGTCCAGATGAGAGCAAATCTGACCTGGGTAAGCTAGTCATGTCCTCTGCTACAGATATCACAATCTGAATTGATATAGAATAGATTATTGATTGGGGAAATATTTGATCATGCACACCAGTTGGCTGTCCACAAGATAGAGAAGAGTGAAGATAAGGATAAGAATTGGACAAAAGGAATAGGAAGGGGAGAGGAGGAAAGGGATAATTAGTAGAACACAAAAGAGATGGTAAAGTAGAATACTGAATGAGAGAAGGCAGAAGAAGAGTAGCAGAAGAGGAGAAAGATTAGGAGGAAAAAATGGTGAAGTAGAGCAGTGAATCCTGTGGAAGGTAGAGCTTCTGATGCATTGATGTTTTTTTTTACCTACATTGATGTTTTGTTTACCTACATTATGAAAGGAATGTGCACCTGTAAGAATAAAGGAGAATAAACAAGAGGAGGAGAAGAAGAAATAGGCAGAGAAGAAGACAGGAAGGAGAAGAAGAAGAAGAAAGAGAAGTGGTAGAGAAAAAAAATTAGGAAAAAAAAGAAGAAAGAGGGGAAGGGGGAGGGAATAAGAAGAAGTAGAAGAAAGTAGAGGACAGGGAGAGCTAGAGGAAACATGGTGAGGAGAAGTAAAAGACAGAAAGGTATATTGGAAGGAGACAGGAAAAGTTTCAGGAAGAGGAAAGGCGTCAGTTCCCAAATGTCCTGATACCAAAACTTATACGGGATTTCACCTGAGAACCAAATCAGGCTTAGATGTTTAACCTGGGTAAGTTGACAATCACTTGACCACCAAACCTACAAGAAGAATGTAAGCCACTCCACTAATTTGTTTCCTGCATGATGATGATGTCTTTGTGTCCACAGAGTCTGATTCTCAGTCGAGATGGCCAGTACATGATCATGGGAGGTAACGCTGGAGTGGTGGAAGTCTGGCGCACCCACGACTTCAGCCATCTCTATTCTTACCCCGTCTGTGATAGCTGTATACGTTCGCTGGCCCTGACACATGATCACAGGTAAAACATGTTGCTATTCTGTGTGTATGTTCTCCCACACCTTGATGGTATCCTGTCTGTTCTCCCACACCTTGACAGTATCCTGTCTGTTCTCCCACACCTTGACGGTATCCTGTCTGTTCTCCCACACCTTGATGGTATCCTGTCTGTTCTCCCACACCTTGACGGTATCCTGTCTGTTCTCCCACACCTTGATGGTATCCTGTCTGTTCTCCCACACCTTGACAGTATCCTGTCTGTTCTCCCACACCTTGATGGTATCCTGTCTGTTCTCCCACACTTTGACGGTATCCTGTCTGTTCTCCTAAACTTAGAAGGTGCCCTGTCTTCCCCCACACTTTGATACTGTTCTGTCTGACCTCACTGCACTTTAGTCTCCATGCTGTCTGCTTGTTTATTTTAATTTCTGGAGTTGAAATTTGTTTATTGTGACGATGTGGAGGAAGAAGAAGGGCAGGCAGTGAGAGCCTTAGTGAGGGCTTTCACAGTGGAGCTTAAACACACCAGCCTCTGAGATCAGTGAATAACTCAGTGTGGTACACTCAGAATTAAGATCAGTAAATAACTCAGTGTGGTACACTCAGAATTAAGATCAGTAAATAAGCGTGGTACACTCAGAATTAAGATCAGTAAATAACTCAGTGTGGTACACTCAGAATTAAGATCAGTAAATAAGCGTGGTACACTCAGAATTAAGATCAGTAAATAACTAAGCGTGGTGCACTCAGAATTAAGATCAGTAAATAACTAAGCGTGGTGCACTCAGAATTAGGATCAGTAAATAACTAAGTGTGGTGCACTCAGAATCAGGATCAGTAAATAACTAAGCGTGGTACACTCAGAATTAAGATCAGTAAATAACTCAGTTTGGTACACTCAGAATCCATGTTTGTGTTGTCTCTGGCTCCCACTTCCCACTGATGTCTAACCCCCCCCCCCTCTCCCTTTCTGACAATTGAACCAAAGCCTCACTGATGATTGAACCCTTCCCCCACAGGTTCCTGATCGCTGGCCTGGCCACTGGCTGTCTGCTGGTGTTCAACATCGACTTCAACAAGTGGCACCATGAGTTTCAAGAACGCTACACATGAGACCCAGCTGACCCGACTCAGGGAATGCTGCATGTGCGACCCATCTCGGGGAACAGGAGCTGACACTTGTCTGCCAGCTACGGACATTCCAGGCATTGTCAATAGCCATCTTTATATTATTGATTGTTTCGTTTCCTTTTGTCATGTCATATTTGTGTAAGCAACATTGGTTGATATGTCAGGCTAGAGTAGATGTGTATACAGATCATGCAACATAATTATCCAACCAGAGGGAAGTTGGAGAACATTTCATTCACTGTTAGTTTAGTGCCAGAGACACAAGATCAATTGTTGTTATTCTTGTCAAGATTCTTGTTGTTTTGGTTTGTGTGAGAGAGCGTGTAGGTAGCTGATTGGACAAGTCTGATAGCCCACAAACATCTGAAGACCATAGGTTGTCCTACAGGCCAAGATAGCCTGTTTGACTTAATGTAGCTTCCTCTAGTCTTCTGCTCCAGAATAGCTGAGGAATCAACAGCATTGCTCCCCCACACTCAAAATCTCTGCCCCAATTTTCATGTGGTCATGACTGAACTGTTTCAATTCTAGGAGGTTTAGCATCAGAGACCCAAGTAAATAAAGAAGAGATCTAAAGTCGGCACATCTTGCGTTCAGTGGGCTTCTAGGTAGGAACCTTTAAAGTGTTCCTTGGGAGTGGAAGAGTTGAACTCTTATTCAAATATTGCGGGTTGAATCTGTATTCAGACAATATTTATTTTATGTTCTGTTCATCTCAGTTTGTTTATCTGATGTTTATGATTTCAGAGTGCCCAGTTGTCAAGTTTTGTGTTGTGTACGTCACATGTTTTTGTCCCATGTCTTTTGTTTGTGTTGAACATTCTTGTTCCTGTATTTTCATGTATAGAAATGTTCATTTTATGATGGCTTGTATGATGTTCTAGAGTTGTTCCTAGCTCTGTGTTGAACCATAGTTTCTGTTGAACATTTATGTTGCTTTACAGTTCTATATGTTGTATATGTTGTATATGTTGTATATGTTGTATATGTTGTATATGTTGTATATGTTGTATATGTTGTATATGTTGTATATGTTGTATATGTTGTATATGGCGTGTCTGAACTTGTTTTGTGTTATCCAAATGTTATCTTATTCCTGTGTAGTTGTATCACATATGATAGGTTGATTACATGAACTTGTTCATGATTGTCTCACAAATGTTCATGTTCATCTTTACTAGTATCATCTCATGAACTTGTCGTCCTCATGTCATTCTCTGAGATCCTCTATGTTACATTAGGAAATCATTTTAAATTAACTTATTGTAGAATTGTCCCTGCACAGTTCTGGCTCAGTATGTGGATGTTTGCTCTCAGATGTGGCAGTTTCTTGTCACAATTTTGGTGTTCTTGTGATGTTTCTGATCTATCTGCGGTGATATTTGTCTGCTAAACTTTGTTCTTATAAAATTGCTCCTGTTGTCAAGTCGGTAGACATCCTTTATGAAATATTTCAGTCATTAGTCATTCATTTTTACCATAGTGTATCACATTTGACATATCTTTGTAAGTTAACTCTTAGTTCTTGTTTGTTTTACTGCATTTCATGTACGTTATGTTCATGTTACTTCTAGCTTGTTTCATGTCATAAACTTGTTGCTGTGTATCTCTGCATATCACATAATATATATTCACATGAACCATTATTCACATATTATCATAAACAGTTTCACGTATTTCTGTGTATATCTTTTGACCATAAAACATAGAAACAAAGTCATTTATTACTCTGTGTGTGTTGCACATACAAAGTCAACATTATATTTGTCCATGTGGTGGTTTATCTGACTGTGTGACAGTTTATTTTGCAGATTATGTTCTGTTTCAGACATCAAAAACTATGGCGTTCTGTTCGAGTCACGTTTAAAACAAACAGGTGTTTACTAGTAACTTTTGAAGTCATTGAGACTAACCACCAGTGGTTGGTCACCTAGAATTGAAATACATCTTGTTTGTTTTTGACCTTACTGTTGTACTTGCTTAAATTTATGCACACATGCTAGAGCAGGGGTTTTTTTCTTGGTTCGGTGTAGAATGTCAGCATTGTTGTTTGTAGTGGTCACACCGTCTACAAGATGTTTCTAGTTATCATACAACATGGTTGTTTGTGGTGGTCACACCGTCTACAAGATGTTTCTAGTTATCATACAACATGGTTGTTTGTAGTGGTCACACCGTCTACAAGATGTTTCTAGTTATCATACAACATGGTTGTTTGTAGTGGTCACACCGTCTACAAGATGTTTCTAGTTATCATACAACATGGTTGTTTGTGGTGGTCACCTTGTCTACAAGATGTTTCTAGTTATCATACAACATGGTTGTTTGTAGTGGTCACCTTGTCTACAAGATGTTTCTAGTTATCATACAACATGGTTGTTTGTAGTGGTCACCTTGTCTACAAGATGTTTCTAGTTATCATACAACATGGTTGTTTGTGGTGGTCACACCGTCTACAAGATGTTTCTAGTTATCATACAACATGGTTGTTTGTGGTGGTCACCTTGTCTACAAGATGTTTCTAGTTATCATACAACATGGTTGTTTGTAGTGGTCACCTTGTCTACAAGATGTTTCTAGTTATCATACAACATGGTTGTTTGTGGTGGTCACCTTGTCTACGAGATGTTTCTAGTTATCATACAACATGGTTGTTTGTGGTGGTCACCTTGTCTACAAGATGTTTCTAGTTATCATACAACATGGTTGTTTGTAGTGGTCACCTTGTCTACAAGATGTTTCTAGTTATCATACAACATGGTTGTTTGTGGTGGTCACCTTGTCTACAAGATGTTTCTAGTTATCATACAACATGGTTGTTTGTAGTGGTCACCTTGTCTACAAGATGTTTCTAGTTATCATACAACATGGTTGTTTGTAGTGGTCACCTTGTCTACAAGATGTTTCTAGTTATCATACAACATGGTTGTTTGTGGTGGTCACCTTGTCTACAAGATGTTTCTAGTTATCATACAACATGGTTGTTTGTAGTGGTCACCTTGTCTACAAGATGTTTCTAGTTATCATACAACATGGTTGTTTGTAGTGGTCACCTTGTCTACGAGATGTTTCTAGTTATCATACAACATGGTTGTTTGTAGTGGTCACCTTGTGTACAAGATGTTTCTAGTTATCATACAACATGGTTGTTTGTAGTGGTCACCTTGTCTACAAGATGTTTCTAGTTATCATACAACATGGTTGTTTGTAGTGGTCACCTTGTGTACAAGATGTTTCTAGTTATCATACAGAATAGAACAAGGTGAGCAGCTGAATCACCTATATGTCCTGCCCCCCCCCCCCCCCTCCCCCCCTCCCATGTCATCATTGAAGCAACAACACAGACCTGATCGGTGAGCCATGGTAAATGATGATGACAGAACTCCCTGTTATAGAAGGAAGAACACAGTTCGGGTGTTTGTTTTTAGAAAATTGGAGCTGTTCAGTTGTGTACGCTGAACGTTCAGGTGATCGCCTGTCAGGGGGATTGCATCTACAGGGGTATAGTTGGTCACATCCCGGAAAGCCAAAGGAAAGTTGAAGGCTAAAGAAGCAGAGGCTGTCAGAAATTGAATTGCTCAGATAACATAAGATGTTAATGAACAACTTTCCAGAATGTACAACGAAAGCTTAGAGCAGAATAGACTAAATTCGTTACTACTGCCGACCTTCACTTAAATCACTGGATGAAAATGATGAGAAATTTGTATTCAAATTCAACAAATTGTTGTGTGTTGTGAATCGTGATGTAAGCAACATAGATGGCCACACTGTTTAATATGTTCACTTTGTGTGAGTGTGTGTGCCCATACGTTCACTTTATTGTGTGTGTGTAGGTCCTTGTTTCTTAGTCTCATATATTACACATTTGTATCTTGTTGCTCTCATATCAGAATAGATAGTAGAGTTGTGCTGGCATATGTTGACATGTTTTAGTGCAACTGGCTTTGTGTGTACCTAGGATTAGGCCAGGTGATAACACATATGGTGTGCTATATGTTGTCAGATATAGCTGTAGATTTTACATTCCATTCTCAGCCCCTCAGACTGCACCCATTATTAAACTTTGATCATTCCAGCTCTTGCACCCAGTTCCAGGACTTAGGGGTCCTCTCATTTTAGTTCTTGCACACAGTTCCAGTACTTGGGGGTCCTCTCATTTTAGCTCTTGCACCCAGTTCCAGGACTTGGGGGTCCTCTCATCGAATATCTCAGAATTGTTCAAGGCAGAAAATCTGATTCAACCTTGTCTGATCAGCGTAGCGCGTCATTTGTGTTGCCTGTTGGGTTAGTTGATAGTTTCAGCCAGCTGCTGTCCTGTTTCAGCAGAACCCCCAACCATTGTACTGTTAGCTACTGTACTGTTAGCTGCTGTACTGTTAGCAGACCCCAGCTGTTGTACTGTTAGCAGAGCCCAACCATTGTACTGTTAGCTGCTGTTCTGCTAGCAGACGCCAGCTGTTGTACTGTTAGCAGAGCCCAACCGTTGTACTGTTAGCAGACCCCAACTATTGTACTGTTTTAGCAGAACCCCCAACCATTGTACTGTTAGCAGACCCCAACTGTTGTACTGTTAGCAGACCCCAGCTGTTGTACTGTTAGCAGAGCCCAACCAATGTACTGTTAGCTGCTGTTCTGTTAGCAGACCCCAGCTGTTGTACTGTTAGCAGAGCCCAACCATTGTACTGTTAGCTGCTGTTCTGTTAGCAGACCCCAGCTGTTGTACTGTTAGCAGAGCCCAGCTGTTGTACTGTTAGCAGAGCTCCCAACCGTTGTACTGTTAGCAGACCCCAACTATTGTACTGTTTTAGCAGAACCCCCAACCATTGTACTGTTAGCAGACCCCAACTGTTGTACTGTTAGCAGACCCCAGCTGTTGTACTGTTAGCAGAGCCCAACCATTGTACTGTTAGCTGCTGTTCTGTTAGCAGACCCCAGCTGTTGTACTGTTAGCAGAGCCCAACCATTGTACTGTTAGCTGC